CTTATTTATTTGTTCTTTTTAAAATATTTTTATTCGTTATTTTTTAAAGAAGAAAACATTTTTCCCTCTGTGGAATGTACATCACATGGATACCAATTTTAACCATTTTGCAATCTTTACAGCTTCTGAATTTACAGATTTAAATTAAAAATATGTTTCATCATTGTTTATTCCATGAAAAGAATTAAATAAATAAATTCAATGTAAGGCCAGCATTTTTTTATTTTTAGGTTTACGAACATCAGAATGAATAAGTCCTGTAGGAGGAGGAAATAAAAAAAAAAAAAAATTATATTTTGGATACATTATCGACTTTTCTACATTAATTTTTGCTTCTTTTTTTATGCTCTCCTAAAAGGCTTCTTGCCACTGGACACATAAGGGTTACAAAGGGGAAAATACAACCTTTAATTGTTTATTTCATCATCTACCAGTTGGGGAAAGTGACATAAATCTTTTGATGTTGCATGGACAAAATACAGATTTTTTAAAACAAAAAATCAATTTTTTAAATCTCTTTTAATATATCTTCATTTTTGTTTTTAATGTGTGTTAGGTAGAAATTAATCTAAAATATTAATTTACTCTAGACCTATAAAAGTAATAATTCCTTTCATAAAACAGACAGGGAGTATTCCCAAGGAGTATTGAGGAGTAGGGAGGAATTTTTTTCAATTAAGTGTAAAATAATTTTTCTGGCCGCCATAAACGATACTATATGCCTGTATATATTTGTATATTCTTGTTTTTAAATAGTTGAAATATTTCTTTAGGCTATTGTTTATTTCTTCCTCAAATGGATCTAACTTCTCCCATAGTTTTATTCATTACATCTGATGCATAAGCGACCCTTTTCTGAAGAATGATGCTAAGACTGTAAACTATGACAGAAACATAAACAATGTCTCTGACAATAGCTACCATGGGCAGTTTTAAACCTGTGGGAGGAAAATAATTTACAATATACAGACACAGTTACTTTTGAATACGGATACATAATTATCTCACCAACATGTCACTTTGCAACAAAGTCCTCGGCATTTTATTGTTCTCTGAACGGGTGAAACGTTTTGAATGGCACTCCTACCGATAAATATTTACATTAAATCAAGCTTTAGTGCTGCTATGGACTTGACACAAATCTCCCTTCATCATTTAAAACCGGAAGTACGAGTTCGTAAATTTGAAATCTCGATCCCGACTCAAATTTGACATCGGAAAGAAAAAATTCTGTTTTTCTCCATCGTCTCAAGCCACGGTCCAGAGTCCGCATATAGCTCTCTCCTACCCGTGGCTGCTTGATCACAAAAAGTGTCGTAATCTTGAATATTTACGCCTCTCTATTATGACGTCATATTTATTCAGTGGCAAGTTTTGTTTCCATCGCAATTGAAATCACAACTGACGTCAACAGTATACAAGAAATATTTCCTTTACTGCGATTGGATATTGAAAGGTTGCGATAAAGTTCATCTTCCGACTATGCTTTACTCGCATTGGTCAATATTTTAATGAGCTACGAAGAATTCTCTCCTCGTTCAACCACGGCCAGAATGGGAGAGGATCGTACATTTTGGCCGTGGTTTGCGACGATGGTTTTTCTCAATTTTATTTTTTTTCTGAAAATGCAAAAACTTGAGCGGCGGGTTTGTAAACCTAAAAATAAAAAAATGCTGGCCTAACTATAATAGGTTGCCCTCCCCCCCCCCCCCCCCCCCCCCCCAAAAAAAATGATTAATTAATTGAACAGCTAATTTTTATGAAAGCTTGTTCCCACATGTATTCCAGCTTTATATGGCTACATTGTATCTTGGAAACAAACTTTACAAAGACCATAGTTTTTAAAGGATTGCAGAGCATTAGTAAATGCCTAGTAAATTCTTCTTCCTTAGACATTAGCACTACATTGTTTAAACATTCTGTCAGAGGAAAGCTTTTGAAGAGAAAAGTTAATAATTTATTGTACACTGAACAGTGATCATGAGTCAGGGTGACCAATCAGAAACTTCAGATGAATTATATATATTGATTCACAGGCATGTATATAAATTATGCTGTATTTCATATTACATCAGTGAGAATATCTGGAAGAGGAGCTATTAGCATTAGTTGGAAATGGAAATAATCTTAATTCAATCATCATAAAATACCTGTCGATTTCCATCATCTTCAATTTTTGGCACTGACATTGCATGATTTTAATTTTGATTTATGATGCTTTTCTAAACATATGTAAGAACTTGATACATATAGATTTCTATTTTTTTTCTATAAACTTGGGTAATGTAGTGTTGAAATAGGTCAGAGAATAAAGATGACATGGTTGCATGGGTCGATTTAAAAGAAAAAAATCTCCATCTGAGACTTGATCTCTTAGTTAACAATTTGAGCATGTGAAGTTAAATGGAAAAAATTACTTCAGAACTTGTTTAAATAGTTTCTTGTGAATTACTTTTTTGTTTGGAAAAAGCCTCTTGTGAATTACTTATTTTATTTAGAGGATTTGATTAAAAACTGCTTCCACATTTTACATAAACTGGTATATTGATTTGGCAATTTGTTTATTATGACAACTGCCTTTTAATTCAAAAAGTGGCAGGGGTTCATTTGAATTAGTTTTATTTCTTTTCTCTGAAATATTTTAAATGGTATAAGCATGATAAGTTTATGTAAATTTAAAAGTTTTATTACCAGGATACAAAAGTCTTCCATTTCATAATCAATACCATTTCATGTAAAGTGGGAAAGCTTTCATGTGCTAAAGCAGCTTTAGTTTGCAGTAAGTGAAATATTGTGGCAATGTTGAAGAAGTTATCTGAACATTATTTTATGCTTAGTCCCAGATTATACATTCTCTGAAAATTGATCAGTATGTAGCAATTCTTTGTAGCAGGTCTGATTGCCCTTGGCCAGGTAGCTCAGTTGGTAGAGCACCTGACTGGAGATTCAGGGGGCATGGGTTCAAATCAATGTCTACTCCATTATTTTTCTCCCTGCCTGTTACGTTTGGTCCTATGTCATGCCCTGGAAGTGGTAGGTGAAAGGCCTACCTGGGAAGAGCCCAAGTAGGTGTTTTTTGGGAGGGGGGCTGAAGAACTTTAAAGAGGGAGGAATGTGGTGGTAATTAAGACAGGTTTGATTGCTAGTCACCAGATCACAGAGGTACATGTAGATCACTGTCTGACAGGAGATTCAGGGAGTCCAGGGGCTCGTAACATAAAGCTTGCTAAGATTTTGACTTAAGTAGGGTCGTAAGTACGGTTTAGGCATAATCTTAGGACCTATCTAAGTACCACTTAAGTATGTCTTAAACCGTAACATAAAGCGAACTAAGCTAGGTCCTAGCTAAATCAAACTTGTGTTAAGAATATTTCATATGAGCCAACCTATGTTTTTTGATTTTATATAGATATATTGCCAAAAGTGATTCAGTTAGGGTTTTAATTAATTACATATTAAAGTTGACGTCCTTACCTATCGGTTTAAATTATGTTAGATTATATTTCGTATTAAAATTATAATTATGTTATAAATTATTCGGAATGTTTGAGAACAAATAAAGCACGGTAAGAAAGTTGCGATTTGTGGTTCATTGTAAATGTTCACGACAATTGTTTTATCACCTGAGATGTTTTCAGCTTACCTTTTGTAACTCTTTTGTTTTGACAAATGTTCACTTACCCTGTTATTATCGCAGACAAGAAAAGATTATCGACCGCCTATCCACTAGAAATTGAAACTCTAAAAAGTTCAATATATTTTGAATCCCCGCTATATATCAGGTCATGCATGTCAGAAGCAAAAACTGCAGAAGTTTTATGATATACTCAATTGCAAATTAATCAAGGATAAAAAAATCGGATATTTTTTCGTACATGTATGTCTCCATTTAACAGCAATTCTCTCTCTCTCTGGAACTGTAGTGAACCCTGTCTAAATCGTTCTACATTTATTCTACTTTACAGATACTTTTTATACCCCCCGCTTGAAAAGCGGGAGGGTATATAGTAATCGTTAATTCCGTCCGTCCGTCTGTTACGCTTTGGAGTACCCATCTCTTATCCGCAACTCCTCTCATACCACTGAATGAAATTTGATGAAACTTTCACAGGATCTTTATTACATATTGCCATTGTGCACCTCCTATTTTACTTTTTGATCTGACACATATTTTGGATTTCCCGGCAAAACATGGACTTTGCCTTATAACTATATGGAGGCGGGGGGTATCATTTAGTGAGCTCATCGCTCACAGTACCTCTAGTTTATTACTGTTTTAGTCATCATCCTCTTTCTTTTCTTTTTTTAACAAATTATTTCAACTCATATTTTCAAATTGAATATACCGATCCATGGTTTATTACCGTGTTCAATTTATTTTTATAACCAAGGTCCCACTAATTTCAGACGTATCCCTACAATTAAATTTTTGTATTTACATGTATGCTGTGTTGAAAGTGATATTGGAATCAGTGATCAACCCCCCCCCCCCCCCAAACGAAAAAAATAAAATTCTTAAATCAGCGCCCAATAGAGATAATTATTTTCTTTAATACATAATATGAATAGAGGAATGTTTTAACATCAAAAATCAACATCAAATAAGTCTAAATATATGTACAAGAAAGTTAAAATATACTTAAGTCACCTCTACCGGCCGCCTAAATTTCGCTAAGATCACCAAGTCTTAGTATCCTTCTAGTTACGGTCTTAAGTTTTAGACTGTTTTAAAGTCCTACTTAAGCACGGTCTTAGACTTAAGTAGCCTTTATGTTACGACCCCCAGGTTCAAATCCCAGTTTGGTCTTTCACAATCTTTGTCCGTCCCCTCCAGTTACAAACTAAATATTTTTTTAATATTAATAGTGTGAATTTCTCAGTAAAAGAAAATATAGGGATGGAACGCAATGATAAGTTACAGGATGGCCATGTGCTGATTGTGCAGCCAATCGGATTTCTGATTTACTAATGAATATTTATGCGAACTTTAGGTGAGAGTTCCAGAATCTCCCTGTCAACATGGCTGAAGCCCACTCCGCTGTGGCATTCTCATTCTCCGTCACCCATGAAGGAGTCAATGTGGACGTCAACCACGAGGCGCTGAAGGCGGTGTTTAAGAGTGGTATGAGATCCATCAAAAAATCTCTTGGAAGGATCAAGGTAAATCCAGGATAGGGTCATTCTGTTATTTTTGGCATCAATTGTGAGAGCATAAATCATTCAATTCGAGAATAATTTTGCTTTACCATATAGAGTATTCTGCTATTTGTAGAAATTTGTTCTAAAATTCAACAAAATAAACCGTTAAAATAGCTGTTTAAAAAATCCTCCATAAAATTTTTACTGGTATTATCATTACTTAATTTGACATCAGTAATGAAATCTTCATTATAATAAATTTTATGCTATCTTTCCAAAACCAGAACCAGATGAAGAATGGTGTTTACCCTGCCACCCCCATGAGTTGGCTGTTTGTTCTAACTTTTGTGTTAGCTTTCATCTTGGCAGGAGTGGATCCATCGTTTGGACTGATCAACTGGATAAAAACACACCTGCCATGGTCAGTAAATAATTATACTGTTTGTAGGTTGCAATGTTTGTGTGTAGTTCTTCTTTAACATGTAAACTTTGAAAACTTCAGAGGTGTGACTTTCTGTAAAAGTTAAAATAACAAATTTTTAATAGAGCACTTGATTGCATAGTGCCGCAGCAACAATTCATGTGTAATGATTTTTAGATAATTAGATAAGGACACGTTTGCACAGACAGACGGACAGCTAGACAGACAGACAGACGGACAAGGCGATTCCTATATAAACCCCCAAACTTCGTTTGCGGGGGGTATATAGGAATCGCCTTGTCCGTCTGTCTAGCTTTCCGTCTGTCTAGCTGTCTGTCTGTCCGTCTGTCTGTGCAAATGTGTCCTGTCCATATCTTTCTTATGGAGGGACATTAGAATCTACTACTCCACACAAAGATTGCCCATGACCTAAGGGTGTGTCATGACCTTGACCTAAGGTCATTTGGGGAAGTTCAAGGTCACTGGAAGAAAAAGTTCATAATTCGTGTCCGGTCCATATCTTTCTTATGGATAAACTTGGTAGGTTCTCATTTCACACAAAGATTGCCCATGACCCAAGGGTGTGTCATGACCTTGACCCAAGGTCATTTGGGGAATCAAGGTCACAGGAAGAAAAAGTTCATAATTCTTTCCGGTCCATATCTTTTTTATGGATAAACTTGGTAGGTTCTCATTTCACGCAAAGATTGCCCATGACCCAAGGGTGTGTCGTGACCTTGACCCAAGGTCATTTGGGGAAGTTCAAGGTCACTGGAAGAAAAAGTTCATAATTCGTGTCCGGTCCACATCTTTCTTATGGATAATCTTGGTAGGTTCTCATTTCACGCAAAGATTGCCCATGACCCAAGGGTATGCCACGACTTTGACCCAAGGTCATTGGGGAAGTTCAAGGTCACAGGAAGAAAAAGTTCATAATTCTTTCCGGTCCATATCTTTTTTATGGATAAACTTGGTAGGTTCTCATTTCACACAAAGATTGCCCATGACCCAAGGGTATGTCATGACTTTGACCCAAGGTCATTTGGGAAATTTCAAGGTCACTGAAAGAAAAATTTCATGATTCATGTGTGATACATATCTTTATTATGGAAAAACTTACTTCTGAAAAAACCCAGCGGGGGGTATTTTGTCCCGTTTGGACAGTTCTAGTTTTCATGCAGTTATACAGATTTTAGGTTACCATGTCCCCCTGACCCACTTTGTTTTCCTTTATGTGTAATATAAGAATACATGTTTTTATTCAGGTTGAATACCTCACCACCTCTTGTTGCTTACTATGGCAGCTGTATAGTATTTGCTACCTTAGTATGGCTGGCCAAGGCATTCATTTGGAAGTACTTCCTACGCCTGCTGTTAAATTACCATACCTGGATGTATGAAAGTCGTGGACCCATGTCACTGAAAACCAAACTATGGCTGGTAGGTCCCAGAGTGGTGACAAATTAATTAAGTTTTACATTGATAATTAAGTTGTTGAACCTGACTGTATTTTGATAGTTTTTAAATAATTGTGTTCTTGATAATTACTTAACATTTTACATACAATATAAACATGTACATGTATTGAATATTAAAGTGCTTAAATATATAATATATTATTTTCTTTTTAATATCAGGAAATTTTTTAGTGGCTGTCTTCGGTAAAAAATTTGACAAAGGGAAGTGCCCATCTCAGATTTAATCTTATCAATGTTAGACAGACATCCTTAAAAATACTGTTAAATGTTAAACATGAACTTTGTAGCTCTCATAAAATGTCTTTGATAAATCATTACATTATTGTGTCCTTCTGTTTTTAAGGGCTTAGTGAAGTTAATGGGAGGAAGAAAACCCCTTCTGATGAGCTACCAAGCCTCTTTACCAAAACTATCTGTACCAAGCATCAGCGATACCATGAGAAGAGTAAAATACATTTTGAACTTGTTTTCTTTCACAAATACAGCCTATTTTTTGCATCTTTGATTGTTACCTTCCACATTATACACTTATATACAGTATAATTACATGCATATTTTTTTTATTACATTACCCGGTAACCATCATAACAAAAGGAGTAAAATGAAAGACACAAATCACTGATTTTCAGCATTTTATATGAAATCGATAGGAATTTGTTCCTAAATAATAATTAGATATTGTTTTATTGTAGTACTTAAGGTCTGTCAGACCACTATTAGATGATGAAAAGTATGCCAGGATGGAAAAACTAGCCACCGAGTTTAAGGAGGGTATTGGGAACAAACTCCAGCGGTACCTGGTGTTGAAGTCGTGGTGGGCCACGAACTACGTATCAGATTGGTGGGAGGACTACGTCTACCTCAGCGGAAGGTCTCCTCTTATGATCAACAGTAACTTCTATGCAGTGGTACGAAAATAAGGGTTAAAGAGAAATTAGAAATAAAAACTTTTTGGATTTTATTTAAAACGGATAATGATAAAAAAATTCATTGATATGGAATAGATATTAATAGATAGTATTGAAAATGATAAAAGTGAATTAATTCAATGTACATGTACTGCTTTGTATAGTCATTGTTTTGATTATTTTGCAGGATGCAGTTTTTATCCACCCCACTACCAAACAGGCTTCCAGAGCAGCCAATATTATCTATGCCATGTTACAGTATAGGAGAGAACTGGATCGTGAGGAACTCAACCCTGTATGTAACAACAGTATAGAAGATTTCTTTAATATACAGTCGAATTCCACTATCTTAAACATCTTGAATACCATGGAGATGTCAATTGAAAGTGATAATGTGGAATTCGAAGTCCCAACCCCTTTATTTTTCAAGTATTTTACCCTGGGTATCTTAAATCTCTGGATATAACAATTTTTTTTCTCAGTCCCAGTGGGCACAAGATAACAAGGGTTAACTGTATTTTGTTGAGCTTTATTGCCCACATTTCATTTCATAACTCTGTATGTTAAATGTTTGGTAAATTGATATTGAATTGCAATGATTTTTGGAGATGATGGAATAAAGTACCTGATCTAATTGTTGTACACTTGTTTTCCAGATTCTACTTAACAAGACAGTGCCATTGTGTTCAGCTCAGTATGAACGTCAGTTCCAAACCACTCGTATACCTGGACTGGAGAAAGGTGAGCCAGGCTCGCTCTGAACACGTGTAAAGTAACATAGAGCTAGTCTGAGGAAGAAAATTAATGGATAACGAACTGTAAAAGATATTTCCTGGGAATCATTAAATTTTATGGTGGCTTAATATTTGTGGAATTTGTTGGTACCCTGCAATCATGAATTCATACCCACAACAAACGAAGAATGGGGCTTTAAACTTTTTGAAATATAAGTGAATAAGGGGAATAACTTCTCATTGAACCTGCAAAATTTAGACAATCCATGAAAATTGGCCCCCGTGAATCTTAATGATTCCAGAGTAACTATCAGTATTGCACTGCAAATGATAATCAATTGTCAGATAATGCTCTGCAATGAAAATTAATTGTGAGATTTTATTCTGTATAAGAAAATTAACAGATACTGAGTTGTAAAGGATCCTTTGAATTTTCACAACTTTTTCTGAAAGAAATCCTTCATGTAAATTACATCATAGCACAGAAACTGTACTTGCTGTAGGAATGTGGCTTTCATTCGTATTCTTTTTTTTTCAGACAAGATAATACATTATAAGGACAGTAACCACATTGCTGTGTATAACAAAGGCAGATACTACAAATTGTACATCTACTACAGAGGAAGATTACTGAAACCTGTGGAAATTGAAAAGTAAATAAAATATGCTTAGTTTCAAATTCATTAACTAAATCAAGCAAAATGCCATTTTATTACATACCTAATGTGTATCACTCAATTTTACTGTTGATTTTACGCAATCACGTGACGTCGTGATCCGACTTTCCAGATTACCACACTGCGGTTTACCTGAATCCATATCACCACTCTCTGAAACTGATGACGTAGTATGCAAAAACATGACGTTGTCTTTCTTGCGCGTTAAAAAGTCCCTTGTTGTTATGCTTTGTTAAATGGATGAATATTATATAATTGATCTCTAAAGTTTTATTTTGCTATATTTAGCTAGTTAAAAGGGGGTCTATAATAAATTTATCATTATAACAGTAACTTGATCCGAAGAGCCATATCATGTCTCATTGACAGGGGCGGATCATCAGATCAAACTTGACGCTTCGCGTCTCGTTTGATCTGATGATCCGCACCTGTCAACTCGACGTGATACGACCCTTCGGATCAAGATACTATTATAATAATATATATGTATAAACCTACAAAATCTTTCACTTTAGTCTAAAGTCTCCTGAATGCAAGACCTTTCCTGCAATAGGATCTGTTTCTGGAATGTAAGAAGTCTTTTCACGTTTGACTATGTACCTGTTTTGAATAATGGTAAAAATTCAGCCTGTTTTAATTTGTAGGTCAATCCAGCAGATTCTTGATGACGATTCGACCCCTGCCCCTGGGGAGGAACACCTTGCAGCCCTGACCGCTGGGGACAGAGTCCCATGGTATCAGGCCAGGGAAGCATATTTCAGAAAAGGGAAAAACAGAGCTTCCCTGGACGCTGTTGAAAAGGTTGGTAAACATGGTCAAATTTTGTTACTGAAAAATAAAAAAACAGCTGTGGGTACCTCACTACCTGATTTATTCAGATTGTAAATTCTGTAAGTTGAAATTTTGTAATTTAATCCTCAGAGCTTAGGTTTTATATTTTGCCTTTTTAAAATTATATTTCATCTTAAATACAGTGTACCAAGAATTACCAGGATTTGATTATTTTACATGTTTTAATTCTTGCATTTTTGAGCAAAACAACAAATTCTTCAAAAGACTGGATAACTGCCGAAATGATATTTGTAAAAGGGAGATAATTATGTAATCAATATCTTTTACAGGCAGCCTTCTTTGTTACTCTTGATGATGAACCACAGAGTTATGATCCAGTAAGTTCTCATTCTGTGTGATTTTACAAGTTTGTCAATCTGGGCATACATCATATACTGTAAACTAACTATTATTCGCGTCATCTTTTCTTCATGCTTTGTCCATTTGACAGGAATAAAAGTTGGTTTACAGTATGTGTTGGATGGACAGAAAATAACCATAACAAGAGGTTGATAAGATATTTTTTTTACTGTATATAAAATTGAGATTGTGCAAAAATTGTACTGAGCATTGTCCCTATTTTATTAGACAGTTTCCATGTATGGGGTTATGGTTAATTATAGATCTCTATGAATCTGCAAGACGTTGCAATTCTTTAAGAAGAGGGACATTATAAACTGTTCACAGACTTTAATTATCAATGTCAATTGAGATAGCTTTTGTAATTCTAAGAACCAAATTTTAGCGAGAATTTGAAATCCCAGAAGATGGGGAAGTCCCTAAAGAGGTAGTAGGATTTGTGATTTATGGAGTTACTATAAGGAATATAAATTGTACTCTACTTTTATGTGTAGCATGTCAAAAGACATATGAAAAATTATATTATCATGAATATTAAATATTAAATGAACATGGCAGGGATTTTCCACGCACTTTTGGGAATGGGACCCAGGCCCTTGGAATTGGGAATTTTACAGAACTATGAACCAGAGACTTGATCATTATAATAAAGTTCTAAACAATTTCCAAATCTGACCATGTTTGAATTTGTGAATTACATTGTATTATCAAGTTAACTTCTGAAGTTCTTCTGCATTCCAAAATTGAACATGTGCAGTTCATTTTGGGGAAAAAGGGAGGGGTTTTGCAATTGGGAATGGGGCCCATATTCAGCCCTACAGGGGGTAGTGGAAAATCCCTGCATGATACTAGTATAACATCATCTCAATTCCTGAATATCATTCCTCAATACAAGTGTTGTAGATGTTAAAGGATTTCAGGAACTGTTTTCTGTTGAATCCATGATTTCATGAAGCACATTATGATCATTTATTAAAATCGTTAATAAAAGATCAAACCTCCCAGTTATTGATATATTAAGCTGACTATATATTACTACATTTACCTACTCTATTCATGCATTCATCATGTAACCTAAGTTTGTGATATATAATTACCCCGGTAAATGTTTAGTAGTTCTTTGTTGTTAATAAGAACTGAAAAGATACAATGTACTTAAAAATCATTAATTTAGGTTGAAACAGTTAATATGATGTGTAGTTTTAGTAACAAAAATTTTAAAAGAAAGTACTGAAAATAACTTGAATCATTGAATTGATTTTAAGATTTCAACAATAAGTGTTCCATTAAAAAAAAACGACATCACTAAAAATTCAATATAATTACAGAAAGAGCCGTCCAAATTGAGCCAGTTTGGGCGTGCCATGCTCCATGGGAAGGGATATGACAGGTGGTTTGATAAATCCTTCACGCTGGTGGTCACATCCAACGGCAGGGTGAGTATTTATCTGATGGGGCAGTAAAAAAGGGTATCTCAGAGGAAAGGAGACTATTTTAGTTTGATCTCTTAGGCATTTATTTGATATACCAATGTATTTCATTTAATGTCTTTTTTCATTCTTTTTTTTTATTTTTCTGAACTTTCATGCATTAATTTCACAATCAAATTGTGAGAATGTTTTCTCATAATTTGTCATTACTTTAAAATTTTGATTTTTCACAGCATAAATGACTAGTGATCCTGCTTATTTTGAATGTTATCAAAATAATTGTAGGTTGGATTCAATGCTGAACATTCTTGGTGAGTTTACATTTTCCTAAAAAACAAATACATTAATATGGCAAGAGATATACCATTTCTGGCCTTAAATGCTGGAAACATATATGTAAAATAGGTAGGGGAGGAACATCGAAAGTCGGACGCTTTTTCGGACCCTCTCGTATGTACCTTCGGTACGCGCTCCAAACTCGTAACACATAACCGGAAAGTTGTACGTCACATAAAATGATGTTTTCACCCTCTTTCTATTCTTAATTTTCATTGGTTAAAAGCTTTGTAATGCTATAAATCAAAACCAAACACGGAAAGGCAAAGGCTGATAAAGTCGGACAGCGACAGTGAAAGTCGGACATGTAGAATTTAAAGTCGGACACTTACTAGTTTCGGCATTTAAAGTCCAATTTACTTCATTTTTTAGGTGTTAAATCGTAGTGGAGCAGGCACAAAGTATCAGGGGGTGGGGGTGGGGGGCTGACCCCTCACTTTCCCCCCAAACACTTACTTTACACTATTGAAAATTCAAGTTCATTGAAAGGCTGTTTGTCCCACCTCTACCTTTTTATTACCGTCAAATCAGGGTATTCTGGTAATATGTATGAATAAAAGTTTTTGAAAGATGTAATCAAATGGAACGTATCCTCCCATCAACCTCCAAAATATAATTTTCTTTGAGTTTGGACCATTCCTTCTTTCTTCTCGTTTTCTTTATTCACTCAGGTAAGTTGATTTTTTTAAATTTAATTTTCTAGCCCCTCCCCAGCTTACAAAAATGATACCAATTAAGTGCCAGGGAAAAAATTCATGAACATTTAAAGTTATTTTTACGTATAATATACTTAGTAATCGTGTGGATTTATCATTATTTTGATTTTTTCCATTTATATACCAAGAAATTTAAATTAACATAATTTTTATAGTACATGTATTTTGCGATCTATAATCTATAAACTCATGGGTTATCGCGTGAATAATTTTTTTGGGTTTAAATTGTCCCCAAAATTAATCCCATGTTACATAAATGGTTATAGACAGAAAACTATATACCCCGCTATCTTTACATTAGAATCTGTAATTCATTTAATTTTCAAGAAAGAGACCTTTCTTTTTTCCTGAATGAGTGATGAGCTATAAACATGAAACTCAAATAAAGCCACAAATAAATTGACTTGATTTTTTAATAGATTTTCTTTTCTTCTCTTTCTTTCCCTTTCCTTCTTTTATTTTCCTCGGTTTATGTATACAGTATTTCATTTCTCTGCAATATTATATCAGTTTGTTGCTGTTAAAATTCAATGAGATCGTTGTTGCTTTACGTGTTTTTCATTGTTTTTTCTGAAATGAAACAATTTCTATAAGGTAAGTGATAAAACGGTTTTTTTTTTTATTTCTTCCTTCCAAAAAGTTTGTAGCGAATCGGCAGAATTTGATTTACAAAAGCTTAAATACTCTTAAATTGCCAGTAAGTTTAATAACATTATAATAAATCGTTTTAGTTTTTAAAAATATGACAATTAAAATACAATTTATTCCATATAATGTGTTGTCCGACTTTAAATTCTCCTCTGTCCGACTTTAAATGACCGAGTATGTAAAGTCGGACAGTTTAATTTTCATGGTTTTATAAATAAATATCCACCATAAAGTTATAATTATGGGAATAATTAATATAAATCATGTAAAAGTATATGATTTAATTACAAAAGATACTGGCAATCACGGAGTACCGACGGCAAACTGAAGATTTCGCCAAGGATAACTAGGTCACTGTCGACAGGTGCGCGCTCGGTGCGCATGCGAATTTTATCCGGATCCGTGAGATGCGTATGTATCCTCCAAATTTTAGACATTACTTCAAACGTTTTCACGACTATATATGTACGAAACAACCATAAACATCCTGTAGATGGAGATACTAAAAGAAAAATACACATGACACTAAATTTAGAAACGATTTTATTCTGAAAGAGAAAACTGTCCGACATTCGATGCTGTCCGACTTTAGCTGTTCCTCCCCTATAGTTTCTTAGTTGGTTTAATACTTACTGGATCGTATCGAATAACTTTTTTTATTATATCATTGAATAATTTCCATCTCTCTGATTGGCTGAGATCCAACTATGTTAGAAAAATACTACGTTGTATTGACCTGCACGTGACGTTCCAGGTGAATACAAGGATTTATTTCCTCTACATTGATCTAAAAATAGATCGGGAAATTCCAAATTCATACAAATTGTTTTGGAAAGCTATTTAAATGCCTACGACTTTTTTTTTTTTTTTTTTTTACATGTGAACAAAACATAAGTGAATATATATTTTCAGTTTAGGGTGGTAAGACGGAATGCAGGACCCCCTTCCAACACTTTAAGTGAACAACAATTTTTACTTTTTGGCAGTCAGTTTTCCCTGATAATACTCCTTCCTTTAAAAATCTATCCTATAAAAAAGACTGACATTATATTTTTTTTTCATGGTAACTAAAATTGATAAAAACATTTCAAATTAATATGACTGTTAAGGTTTATTTACATTTTAAGTCTGCTTCTCTCTTGTATTTGTGTAGGACTTAATCAAATGCAAACAAGTAATGAGCCGTATCATTTTATCAGTGAATCATATAATAAAACAATTATTGCTGTTTTTTCGGTCAATACAATGATTTAGCCATCTTCGAAGTACAATATTCACCTCGCCCTTCGGGCTCGGTGAATATTGTACTCCTCAGATGGCTAAATCATTGTATTGACCTCAAAAGACAGCAATAACTGTATAATATCTGATTTCTATCTTGAAAGTGTTTTTTTTTTTTTTTTTTTGAATTTTATAAACCTAATGAATTTAAGTGCTTTTGGCACTATTAAGGGAACAAAATCTAACTGTGCCAAATTGGTGGAATTTAATTTAGTTTTGTATTATGAATTATAGTTTTAAAATTTGTCTGTGAGATGAAATTTATATTATTTAAGTATTGTTTTGAACTTAAAATTATGAACACAGTAATTGAATTGAAGTCATAGTGTGAAGTTTTCTGTAATAGGTAAAAAAAAAAATATATAAATTTCATTTCACTGTGTTACATGTATTTCAAAGTTGATATGACTTTTAAGAAAATCTGAAATGTATTTGAAATGTTTAATTTTGAATTGAAAATTTAATTTGTTATTTTGATATGAATGGTTATATATTTGGTTTTTGAAAATGTGTTCACACTAATCTAATATCTATGTTGTGTGCTTGTGTGCAGTGTGACAATACAATTTTCAGTTTCCTCTTTTTCTGCTGTCCTAATTTTCCGATGTATCCATAACAACTTGCGAGTGATCTCAGATGTCAACAGAGCCAAAAATCAACAGGCCCTCTGGCTCCAGGGCCATAAAACTTAGACGAGCTCACCTCGCACTTCTACAAAAGGAATATATATAGTGAGATTGAGATTAAAATTGAGCTCGTCTAAGTTTTATGGCCCCTGGGCCAGGTCTTGATTTGAGCAAAAACAGTTTGGCTTATTCCAGCTAGTTCATGATTCTGCCTTTCACTGCATATTGGTGTATCTTGAATGTTTGACAATGGCACAAAATAACGAGACTTTCACGTTTATAGGGGAATTAAAAATGAAATACTGAGGTTTAATAATCAATGTGTGTGACGTTAAGGATTAATGCTAAAAAATATTACGAATGTATTATGGATTAATGCCCGATAAAGGACTAACTGATTTATAATTATGTTAAATCTTTATACGTGTAGTTTTACTAAAAAATCTTAAAATTCCAATAACTACAATTAAAGGACTCTAAACCATTATTTCAAGTGCAAACATAACACAATTTAGATGAGCTTGCTTGCTAGGATTTTGATAATTTTTTTTTACTCATCAGTGAATGTGCCAGCAAATATAATCATTTGACAACATTCTTTGACTTTGACAATTAAATGAACAGGACATGGTTTAATATTTTCTGCTTCAGGTCATACATAATATGTACATCTACCTAAATAGGTTATATCTGTTGATGATTTATTTCAAAAACTACTATATTTATATACACAGGGCTGACGCCCCTATCATGGCCCATCTTTGGGAGTACAGTACATTTGAGGACTTTTTTGTACAAGGGTATGGTCAACAATGTGGATGAACATTCCTTTAACTTGGGCTAATATGTAGCTTACTCGTTATGTTATTTTTATTAACAATTCACAGTTTTGTCTGTTCAGTGCAGATTTCTGTAACAAAAACCACACAGATGTTTTAATTGGCAATAGCCATGTATATTCCACATAAAGTTGTTGTATGACATATTCCACTCTGAGTTATTTACCTTGGGTGCCATGTAATATGACCCCAATGTGACAGCCAACAGAAAAACATGTCTGATAAATTCACATCTAGAGAAAAATATCTATATACACAGTACATATAATTAAGGTGTGTTGGTCTATTCATGGACACACATTTGCGAGATTTGGTTTATATTTTTGTTACAGAAATACCTGTGTTTCCTAATAATTACTAGTTCTTACAATAGCGTCTTATGCAGTAGTAACTCCTTGTTACTGTTTTGGGGTGCTTACTTTTGATTTGTTGTTTGGCTTTAGTTCAAATAATACCTGGTAGTTTATAAATATCATATTATGGCATCTTGATACTATTGATGGATAGTAAATACTCTAGAGGTGTGTTGGGAGGCATTTTATTTCAAAAAGTCAAATTTTCATTTGTTTTAAATTGAAAAGAGGCCATTTATAATATTGATTAATTTTTTTCATAAGTGGGAATGGAAACAGGATAAATGGCCATGGGTTTATTCTCATTCATATTCATTTACTTCCCAACACACCTCTGGTGAATTTTTACACAGATAGACAACTCAAGGTGCCATTGATATTTCTTAGCCTGTTTGAATTTAATGCTTATAGCATGTTTGGATATATCCCATTCCTGTCTGTTGTCTTGCTATTTTATATAACTTCCATATTTCTGTCACACACTCACAAAAACATATCAGCTGTTCCATGCATAAAGAGTGGTCCATTCTGCCCATTTCTATTTGCATTTGGAACTTTTCATAACAACATCTATGATTGGCTAGAGGTATCAGCCAATCATTTTGCATGCTGTATTCAGAGTTTCCTGTACACTTGTTATAATCATCATCATGTGTAAACAGGGCAGACGCACCTATTATGGGACATTTATGGGAAGTGGCCACAGCGGACGATCGCACCATTGGGTAAAGTCTTTACCATCCCCCTCTTTTAAGCCTAATCGTAGGGTAGGTGTAATGGGTCCACACAGGTGGGTATGGACTAGATTATATTGGGGTTTAAGGCCCTCTATTGAACTATGTCTGTTAAACTACATCTTGGTGAGTTTACCCTGTGGAGCCTTAGTGAAGGGAAAGCTGAGAGGTGCAGGTATAATAGGATTTGTCATCTATCCTTATAAAAATGTGGAAAAAATTGAAATACTGCTTAGGAAAATTTTGTATAAGACAGTGATTGAAACTAAATTAATGTTCAATTATGTAAAGAATGCTTTCTTTAAAAAAATGTACCAGACTAGTATGTTTTATTGTACTTTTATCATTTGGTAAAATTAATGTAAAAGCTGTTCATTGAGACATGTGCAAGTTAAAAAAAAAGAATAATTATTAGCATATCTGCACCTTAAGGCTCTGTTCAAGTTTACTCTAACCAACACCATTCATCTGCTCAGTGGGGTTTAAATAATGTCACTTAATATATCCTCATCTTGTTATTGTTTATGTAGTTTATATGTTCTAGTCTTATAAGCTCATCTAATTAAAAATTTCATATCTAAAGATTTAATGAATTTTTTTTTCCAATTAATTTTTAAAATTTGCTTCTTTTAGAAAAAAAATGCCAATTATATACATAAAGTTTAAACTCAGATATCATGTTCATGTAATTGTCTCCAATATTTGTTGAAGGTTGATTCAGAAAAATGATAACTTGTTTTACATTACAGATACACAGAAGAGGGCTACTGCAAGGGGGAGATAACTACTCCTCCACCCAATCCTATCAGACTGGAGTGGGATCTGCCAAAACCTGTGAGTCCTTTATTACATGTTATGAAAGTTTTTAGAACATCTAAGGAATGAATTAAATTGCAACACCTGTTATCTGTATAACCTGGATTAAGGCAGTTTACGCTTTATAAACCGTGAAGCGGTTATATTTAAGGAATAACTGTCTTATTTTTCGAATTCATGAAGTGATCAATGGATTGGCTTGTGTGATAATTTGCATAAACGCCGAAGGCGTTTATGCATAAAATTATCACACAAGCCAATCCATTGATCATCTTCATGAATTCGAAAAATCTGACAGTTATTCCTTATATTTACATGCTTTGATTCCGCCAATCCACGGGCTCCAAGCCTGCTTCTCTCTAGGTGTTGTCCCGCCCTGCACGTGGTTTTTTTTTTACATTTACAATTGGTAATTCTATCTAGAACAAAGACATTGGAAATGTAAATATATGTGTATATCAGTTTATATATAAATGCACCCTTTTCCTTACAGTGCCTACAGGTCATTGAGAACAGTCTGGAGGCAGCTAAGCAGCTGATAGCTGATGTAGATCTGGAGTTGTTGGTCCATAACCAGTATGGCAAAGGATTCATGAAAGTGTGTAGGGTCAGTCCAGATGCCTACATCCAGCTCGCCCTACAGCTGGCCTACTACAGAGTAAGTCCTACATTGAGCTAGAAGTTAACTGCTTCTCATTGTGAATTGCTATAGAAGGTGTCATACTGTATTAATTTCTTTACGAGAAGAAGATGTATTACAAGTGTATGATTATTTATTTTAGCTCAACAAGAAGTTCTGTCTCACCTATGAATCCTCCATGACCCGCCTGTTTAGGGAGGGTAGAACAGAAACAGTGAGGTCTTGTACAGTCCTGTCATCTGAATTTGTGAAGGCCATGGATGACCCTGATAAAACAGTGAGTATAAAACAATTCAGAGTAGAATCCTCTATTAATAAAAGTACAAAAACTGCCAGAGATCATGATATCAAATACATGTTCAAGTACATGTATTTGACTAGTAAAATCATATTTTATTTAGGATATTGGAGATATATTTAGAAATATTTGAAATTTTGTTTTGAAAGCGTATTTGAGGATATTTGTATACTTCTAGTGATTTCCATGATAATAATTTTTCTTCTTGGAAATTGCAGAGGGAAGAACGCATTGCTCTCATGAAGAAAGCTGCTGATGTACACCAAATAAACTGTCGTAATGCCATGACTGGCAAGGGCATTGACCGCCATCTCTTCTGTCTGTATGTGGTTTCTAAGTACCTCGATCTGGACTCACCGTTTCTACATGAAGTTCTCAGTGAGCCCTGGCGGCTCTCAACTAGTCAGGTAGGGAAATGTTCCTGATCTCAACTAGTCAGGTAGGGAAATGCTCCCGCTCTTAACTAGTCAGGTAGGGAAATGTTCCTGATCTCAACTAGTCAGGTAGGGAAATGTTCCTGATATCAACTAGTCAGGTAGGGAAATGTTCCTGATATCAACTAGTCAGGTAGGGAAATGTTCCTGATCTCAACTAATCAGGTAGAGAAGTCTCCTGTTTTTCATGGAATCTCAGATACCGGTAGTTTTATAGTGCATCTTGGAGATCTATAATGTGTCTATAGAGGGTGAGAGCATTTGTGTGGTGTTCAGTGCATCTTTTTTAGAGAAAATATAATGTTATCATAGAGAGTATTTAGAATTTAAAATCTGGATATGTTGAACACTTGTTTCTTGATTAATGAAGCTCCTAGATAATGATGATGAAATGTATGATGAGGAAATCCTTTCTGTTACAGACCCCTCATCAGCAGACCAACAAGTTAGATCTGACGAAGCACCCAGAACACATATCAGCAGGGGGAGGCTTTGGACCGGTGGCTGATGATGGGTACGGGGTGTCCTACATCATCGCCGGGGAAGACTGTGTGTTCTTCCATGTCTCCTGCAAAAACTCCTGTCCTACCACTGTAAGTTATTATAACAAGAGGCCCATGGGCCTTATAGGTCACCTGAGCATTATGCAACAACTTTCCAGTGATTGAATTTGATTCATGTTTAAAGCCAGATGCTATGGCATTCACAATTTTGAAAGAGGCACCATTGATCATCATAACTATACTAAGCAGTTGCTTAGTTTGGTTACTTAATACCCATAGGCAGGGTAGGGGAACAAAAGATGCATTTCAACTAATCAGTAATATTCAGCAACAATCAGTAGTCCCCCTACCACACATGAACCCCTGCGCTTAGCCCTAGATCCACACTTTGCACAATTTTTGAAAAAGCATCCTTGCTTTTCAAAAATATTTGATTAATACCAAGGAGCAGGTTTCAAACAATTCATTCATTTTCAGTATATAAGTTCAGCCCCCCCCCCCATGGTACCCCTGACCCTGGGGCATTGAAATTCACAATTCTGGAAGATTAGTGCCCTTGCTCATCATAACTACATAGGTTGTTCATCTGCTTAATACCCAGGAGCAGAGAAGAAGATTTTCTAAGAATTCATGTATTTTCACTATATAATCAATAGAGCCCCACCCTAACACACTAACCCCTGACCTGGGGGCCATAAAATTCACAATTTTGGAAGAGACATTCTTGCTAATCATAAATATGTACTTAGTTAGTTTATTTAAGGAGCAGAGAAGAAGATTTTAAAAGAATTCATGTATTTTCACTATATAATCAATACGAGGTTGTCCCGTTAAACACAAGAGCCCCTAATCATCCCAGGGCCAAAAGTTTCACACTTTTTAGTACATATAGATAAATATACATAGCAAATTTCAAATAGATATACATAAATAAACAAATTAGATATTTTATTTAATACCCACGGCGCACAGAGAAGTCGATTTTCAAAGAATTCATGTATTTTCACTATACTTAAATTTAGAAATTTTATTGATTTACATACCTGTGTTTATAACCAGAACCAATGTGGCACCCATGGATCCATAAATTTATCACAATTTTGGATCACCATCAGTCAACTAAATGAGAACTCTATGCTCATCATAACTATTGCACTGGCAGTTATGTTTATTTAATACCCAGGAGCAGAGAATTTTAATTGATTTTCAAAGAATTCGTATTATTTAAAGTCTTTTAAAGTGTATAATAATCAATCTACCTGAACTGACTCACCCGGTAACACCATGAAACGTCGCCATTTTTCGTGTATTGTTTCTACAACTTGGGAATGCGGGAAATAAAAATTTAACCAAATTTTGAAATTTTCAAAAAGACGATATAATTCTAAGGAATCGAATTAGGATAATTTTCATCATAACTATGTATTGAAAACTTTTATTACTTAATACTTGTATATTCTTTACAAAACTGTTATTTTTATACCTAGGACCCTGTGCAAGCAGATAAAATCTTTATTTTTGTGTATATATTATCAAAAACATCATGATACACTTAAATATGATGAATAAACATTTCTGAAAATTTCTATATAATCACGATTTTAGAGCCCCACCCTAACACCAGAACCCCTGATCCTGGGGCCATAAAATTCACAATTTTGGAAGAGGCACTCTTGCTCATCATAACTATGCACTTAGATAGTTTATTTAATACCTAGGAGCAGAGAAGAAGATTTTCAAAGAATTCATGTATTTTCACTATATAATCAATAGAGCCCTGCCCTAACACCAGAACCCCTGACCCTGGGGCCATAAAATTCACAATTCTGGTAGAGGCACTCTTGCTCATCATAACTATGTACTTAGTTGGTTTATTTAATACCCAGGAGCAGAAGAAGATTTTCAAAGAAATAATGCATTTTCACTATATACTTATTTAGCCCCGCCCTAGCACTACAACCCCGACCCCATGGCCATGAATTTCACAATTTTGGTAGAAGACTTAATGCTGATTACAATCATACCAACAGTTGACTGCTTGATTCCAGGAGTAAAGAAGAAGATTTTTAAAGATTGCATTAATTTTAGTGGTTTTGGCCCCACCCCTCAGGCCCCAGGGGGGCAGCGATCATGAAATTCACAATTTTTGTTCCCCTTCACCCATAGATGCTTTGTGCCAAATTTGGTTGAAATTGGTTCAGTGGTTGCAGAGAAGAAGCTGAAAATGTTCAAATGTTAATGCACGACAGACGACGCATAACGAAAACAGATACAATAGGAAAACAGATAGCAATTAGGTCTTATGTTTTTCAACAGGGAGTGTTCCTGTTATGTTAGTCGAGTGCATCAAAGGAGGGATATATAACATCCCAAAACTTTTACTGTATCTTTGTAGACTTGTTGACAGTATTATTAAATTATATTTGTTATTTGTTGCAATAATTATTTTTAAAGATTTAGTCGTCTTTGCTCAAATTAATTTAGATATACTCTAAAAAATGTATATATGATAAGTTTATTTTAACAAAACCTCATTTAAATGGAAAGAAATCTGATTATACATTTATTTATTGTAGAGTTCTAAGAAGATGGTGAACTCCATAGTGCAAGCTTTAGCTGATATAAAGACACTCTTTGAACAACATTAATGTTGAGGATCAACTAGCAACTAGTGATATTTGTGTGGAAACTAATTTATTGATTTATTGATTAATTAATCAGACTTTTATTTTAGACTGTGTTCAGTATACTGTGTCCATTATTTCTGTTCAGAATTCACTAACATCAGAAAATATGTATTTTTTTCTCAGGAGGAAATTTTTAAATATGACAGGGATTACTATATATCTTGATATTTTTATTGGCATTTCTTTTCTAAAGTAAGCAAAAGGAATATTTATTGATGACTATTGAATTATAGCAAAAATACTTAATTTCTTGTATACACTAACAGTGTAATGTTTGATAATAGTTTGCATGCTTTAATTTCATCATACATTGTATATGCTGTACGTTTACTCTAAGTTAATGTCTTACAAGTATTACAATGGAATTGGACATTGAAGCGCCATAATGCTTGTACTCTTTGTTCTTTCTGTGGAGCAGTGAACACGAAAGAGTGAAGTCCATTGAACTTTACCAGATATACCAAGTATACTTTAAAATAATTGTTTCAACAAGAATTATTATAGTAAAACTGCACATGCTAGTAGCTTTCTGTTTTTCTGGGACCATTTATTTTCTTAACTACAAAAAGAAATAAGACAAGAAAAATAGCTTTTACGGCAAGGTTTAAGATTACATCAGATGCTGAGCCAGCATCATAGTAGAAGAATTGTACTTTGCTAGGCATTGCTTCAACACATCGTTTTCCTCCCAAATTTGTTAAATTCCTTCTTTCAGTTTTAATTTATTTAGCACAATCAATGCAATTATATTGGTTTTACAAATTCCTTTCTTTTTTTATGTACAAATTAAATGAACAATATTCAAATCAAGGTTTGATGTTGTGTATTAATCTGACATCTAGTTAGGATAGTCAATGCTAGACATTACTCCAACCTGCATCCAAAAAAATTAAATGTACTCACATGTAAATAATTCATGTTCTTCTGTTTTTACACATTTTTTCAAAGTTTGAGTTTTATTTTACGTTTTGTTTAAACATTTTTCATGTGTAGTTTTAGATTTTTTTTTTTTTGAATTCCTTGATTATGACTTGTTTTTATGTTCATTTTTTTTCAATGTCAATTCAATGCTGATTCAGTTATTTTAAAAAAAATATACAGTCTTTTTGATTGTCTGCATAGATGTACATTGTACAACATAATGTGATAGCATAAAAATGTACATACATTTACGTTTTTTTTTTAACTCAAAACTTCCATAAATTTTTATTTCTGTCTCTGTGATTAAATTGTTAGACACTCATAAGTAATTGCCGTAATATATAATTATCAACCACAAAGATTTTTAGAAGAAAATGACCAAAACTTATTTTGTTTTATATGTTAATTTTTTATTGATTATCTGTGTTATATAATATTTTATGTTCCTGTAATTGTCTTAAAACTTCTCCACAATTTCTGTCAGCATATGTTATCTTGTAGTTTGCTTTGGTTTGGGATCTTCCATTTAACATACAGTATGACAACGCTTATAGTATTCCAAGTATTAGTGAGTATTTGGATGTAGATGGAACAGAAAGTGAAAATCTTCAACTGTTGATTACATACACCATATTTCTTTTGGTTTATTTTGTGAATAAGCAAGACTGAAATACACTGTGCTAGAGATACATGTATTTAAATTCAAAGATCTGTACAAATAGTGTATGGTGATATACTTGTTTTAGGGCTCATTTCAGAAGTAAAAAAAAAAAATTATTAAGTTAAGTTAATGACATGAAAGGCATGCAGTGCAAGTAGTTTGTGCATGTAATTAAAAAAAAAGGGTGATCTGTTTCATTTGGGATGTTATAAATTATGTTATAGTTTACAAGAGAATCTATTTGTTTACAAGATTTCAAATTTCTTACATGTCAGAGTACAGTCAAACTATTCCAAAACGCAGTGCAAGTTTTCAGTCGAAAATTTAAACAAAGCGATTCTAAATGTTCAAATAGCATTAACTAAAATATATATATACCGATAGTCAGTCTACATGTATAAAATATATTGTGATAAAAGTTAACCTTTAACTATCTGAGGAATTTTGTCTAAGAAATACTGGAATCTTCATTTATAAAAGTATATAACTGATCTTTGTTTAATTTCATTTGTGCTGTATTACGTATTTGAAACTGCTTCATGTGTATTATATGTTCTTGTTTGAATACAATAAAATGAACTTACAAAACATATTAAACATGCTTTATTTTCTTAACAGGAAGCATCAACAAAGAAATATTATTAAATTGTCCATTTTCTTTTTCATAACATTTTAGGCCCGGGGATTAATAGTGTGACTCCTCATGGGGCGCCAGGAGTTTAATTCCTGTTGGATCCACTCCCCAAATATCGGTTGCATATTCCCTTATCGTGCGGTCACTAGAGAATTTACCCGAGGCTGCAATGTTACGTAAACACATCCGTGCCCATTCCATGGGTTTCTTGTAAAGCTCGCTTACGCGTTGCTGACACTCGATATAGGAGCTGTAGTCTTTCATCAGGCAGTATCTAATGAATGAAATTTGTGTTTTCATGATAAAAAAAATCTTTTATTAAATCATGGAAATTGTTATGCATCTAGCTTTCGGTGCATTACTTTATCATGTATGCTAGACATGTACCTGGAATAGAAAAGAGTCTTTCAAAATTAAGCGTTACATTATAAGTAAAATTATATACTAGTAGTGTATAGCATGTATAGGGTAGAATTATGTTAATGAATAAAAATTATATACATCTACAATATACTCACCGATCAGTATGCATCAGATTGTTGAAGATGTCCCGGAAAAGAGTGGGGTCCTCCGGGGAAAAGAAGCCATTATATATCTGATCAATGGCTTCTCTGAGTTTGGCATTTTCCTCGTAATACTTTCTGGGATAGTAGCCGTCTTTCGTAAGACTTTCCACCTCTTCAACGGTCATACCAAAGAGGAAGAAATTCTCTGCGCCAACTTCCTCCCGCATTTCCACATTAGCACCATCGAGTGTCCCAATGGTCAGAGCACCATTTAACATGAATTTCATGTTTCCTGTACCGGATGCCTCAGTTCCCGCCAAAGAGATTTGTTCACTTAGGTCTGCTGCTGGAACAATTTTCTCAGCAAGACTAACTCGGTAGTTCTCCAGAAACACTACTTTAAGTTTGTCGCCAACATCAGGGTCATTATTGACTACGTCGGCAATGCAGTTGACCAATTTGATGATAAGTTTGGCCATGTAGTAACCCGGAGCGGCTTTTCCTCCAATCATCACTGTCCGAGGAACGATTTTGTTCGAACCGGGCTTCTTGATCTCGTTGTACAAGGTGATGATGTGAAGACAGTTAAGCAGTTGCCTTTTGTACTCATGGATTCGTTTGACTTGTATATCGAACATGGAAGAAGGATTTATGGAAATATTAAATTCTTTCTCAATATAACAGGCTAGTTTTTGTTTGTTTTCCTGTTTAACGCGAATAAGATTTTTCAAAAAGACTTCATCCGAGGTCAGTGTTTCCAAATTCCTCAGTAAATCTAAGTTTGTGACCCAATCCGACGTGATTCTTTGAGTAATGAGTGAGGACAGCGAAGGGTTACACATTAACAGCCAACGACGTGGAGTTATCCCGTTGGTCTTGTTTTGGAACCTCTCTGGATACATCTCATAAAAGTCTTTGAAGATGCTAGTCTTGATGATTTCAGAATGTATTCTGGCAACACCATTCACTGCATGAGATCCAACAATACACAAATGGGCCATGTTGATTGATTTTTCTCCTCCCTCTTCAACCATTGACATTCTTCTTTTTCGATCTCCGTCTCCTGGCCATTTTTCTTCTACCTTTTTCAGAAACAGATGATTGATCAAGTAGATTATTTCCAAATGTCTTGGAATTAGCTTTTCCAAGAGAGACACTGGCCATCTTTCTAGAGCCTCTGGGAGAACAGTGTGGTTGGTGTATGCACAAGTGTCCACCATGATCTTCCAAGCTTCTTCCCAGACTAGACCTTCTTCATCTATAAGAATCCTCATCAACTCTGGAATGGCTAACGCAGGATGAGTATCGTTCAACTGAATAGCGGTTTTCTCAGAAAAGGCGGCAAAAGACACTCTCTCGTAGTCGAAGTTTTTCCCGCCTTTGTATCTTCTGATAATGTCTTGAAGAGAGGCTGACACGAGGAAATATTCCTGCTTTAGTCTCAACTCACGACCCTCAAACATGGAATCATTCGGATACAATACACGTGTTATGTTCTCAGCTAGGTATCTGTCGTGCACAGCTTGAAGGTAAGAACCGTTGTTGAAAAATTTCAGGTTGAAGCTATTGGGAGCTTTAGCCGACCACAGTCTCATAATGTTGATGGTGTTGTTACCATAACCGGGTATTGGTGTATCGTATGGCAAAGCACACACAGTTTGGTAATCCAGCCATTTTGTTCCGTTCTCATTCTGTTCGATTCTTCCGTAAAAATTGACGTGCAGAACGTACTCTGGACGGGCTTGCTCCCAGGGGTTTCCATAACGCAGCCACTCGTCGGGTTCCTCGACTTGCCATCCTCCTCTGATTCTTTGTTCAAAGATTCCATAGTCATATCGTATACCATACCCATAAGCTGGCATTCCCAGTGTGGCCATGGAATCGAGAAAACAAGCAGCTAAGCGCCCTAAACCTCCATTGCCCAAACCAGCATCTTCCTCCATACTTTCAAGTTCTTCCATGTCTAGCCCGAGCTGATACATTGCTTCTTCACATTCGCTGTCGATTCCTATATTTACCATGGTGTTGGTTAAGGCTCTTCCCATGTAGAACTCCATAGACAAATAGTATATCTTTTTGGTGTCTGTCTTATGGTAGTGTTGATGGGTGCGGATCCATCGTCCACAAACCTGATCCTTAACAGCGTGAGCCAAGGCAAAGAAATAATCTCGTGTAGTTGCGTTCTGTCGATCTTTTACCAGAGTGAAGTGAAGATGTTTGTTGAAGTTGTTTTTTATGTTGTTGACTCCTTCCAGTGGGGCTATACCGCGAATGCTGATCTGCCTCTGCTTTGCTCTAATATCGTCATCATTTGATGCCATCTTGTAGTTTTCCCCAGTTCAGAAACTGAGAAAAGTTCTGCGGAGACGAGTTTGGATCGTATCCAGTCGCAATACAAGTAATTGTGACGTCACAGATAATAGGTATTGTGTCGTCACATATAATATGTATTGTGACGTCATTCCATCTTATGGGCGTAACGTAAAATAAATATACCCTCTATAATTATGTACACATGTAGGTTCTAAGAGCTATGAACATGGTAAAGTTTTCCTTCAAATTAAAAAATATGACTTGCATGTTTATCGAAATAAGCTATTGGGGGGGGGGGGGGGGGGTCATCCCTTTTACCCCAAGCAAAAAAAAAAAAAAAAGAAAGAAAAGAAAAGAAATTTTGTAATCTATGTAATTTATTAACTTGAACTCTACTGATATACTGGCTATATAAACAGCATTTTTATACCCTTATTATACTGTACCTGTATATCATTCAAGTTAAAGCAATACCGGTATGATTTAAGCCCGTGTCCAAAATGCAAAAGGGTAAACTTGAATTTTACATGTAAAATTTGTCGTAAGGTTCTCTGTTGTGTATCTATAAGTTATCTATAAGTTAACAAGTTTTGGAATGACAATTTTTTTGTTAAATATTTTAAAATGTTAAAATCCCTTGTGACATTTGAGTTTATACATACAAAGGGAAAGCTGAAAGTGATTGTTGACAAAGCAATTTTGTTACTTTTGATCCTCGCATTAAAAATGTGTAAACCATTAGGCTTTTCAGAGTCTTCTTTTCGTAAAGATTAAAGTTTAATCAAAGTTCAATCTAAGTTAATAAGTATCTTCAACAAATTGGCACTAAAGACGACTTGAGAAACTAAATGCATACGTTTTTCGTAAATGATTTTTTTAAAAAAAATCGATTTCCGAGTTTACTAATCGTAATTTGACTCCATTTTTCATTTCTTTTCTATAATTTTCCAATCGATTTTAAACAATATAGTATTATAATATACAAAATCCATCGATTGAATGAATAACGACACGGATTATGAAGCTGAACACTTGTGTATTGTATTCGTATTTCTTTGACTCGTACGAAGTCCCTATAAATGATTTACATCTCATTGGTCCCCCTAACCAAGACAGACGACAAAAGCGCCATTCAGCGACCCTCCTCTTGGCTTTATACTTGCTCTCAATTATTAATCAAATAGTCAAATGCGAAAGGACTGGTTTGCTGCAAAGAAGTTAGTATGTTATTTTTGTATGGGGATTCCATGTGATTGGATCAATTAATTTCTTGGAAGAATTTTACTATATTTAAGGTAGCTTGAATTCAATTTCGTATGTTATTATTATTTCTGACAAATTTTATTATTTCAACAATGCAATGTGATTGAAGTTGTCACATTGCAGAGTTATAAAATGTATCTGATAAAGTATAATCTATCATGCAGAATAAATATATTATACTTTATAAGGAAATGTTTTAAATAAAATTCACCTTTTTTAAAATGACTAAAATGATAAATAAAATACCTGATTACCAAAAAAAAAAAAAAAAAAAAAAAAAATCATTTAAAGATTAAAAAAAAACCTCATTTAAAGATAAATCTAAAACATTTCTCATTATTTTTTTATCGTATTTTCCAGCTTTTTAAAATATCTGTTCTACTTTAATGATAATCTTTCAAAAGGCGAAAAATATATGACCTAGCTTTTATAAAACCCTGGATAACACTTAAAATTCCATTCAGATAAATTTTATTAACTTCGACAATAAAGTTCTATAAATCATTCGACTACATTGTAATCCTGGTGGTGTGATGTGTCTGTAATCAGTGCATTATTTACATTCCGTGCCCGATAAAACAAAAGCTCCCCCTCCTCTTGAAGAGTGTCTTTATCATTGTCCAAACCAACCTTAAATTTCTTATCCTTGTCGAGAGGAAAATACGTTTTAGGAGGTAGTCGATTATCAACAGAGGAATACCGGTATTTATCGGATCGGATCTTTATAATACATTTTTTTTAATCGAAATGTATTTTTAATTCATTGTTTCAAGTGAGTATTCATTTTTACTTTATTCAAACATTTTTCTTTATTTCAATTTGTATAGCTGGACTATCGGCAAAATAAAATGAGTTTAATCCAGAGGGTGTAATCTTACATCTTAATTAAACATAATACTTATGTTTCACATATTTATAAATCAATATATGTTTAAATGCAAGTTCAGTATTGAATGGCCCGCGTTTAATGATGCTGCGTTTCATATTGAAGTAAAAAAGTATAATTTAATTATCACCACAAAATAAATCAATGTATATAGTATTCATAGAATGATAGTCTATCATCGAAGTTGATATAAGAGTTTGCATATCTCTTTTAGAAATTTAACACTTAAAAAAGTAACACATCCTATCCATGGTTATGAATTAATAAAATTTCCAAATTTTGACCCCCCCCCCCCCCCCCCCCCATTCCGAAATAAGATTTTGGAGTTTGCACAATTTTCTTTTTCTGTTTGTCGTAGATATTTCAGAGAATTTATTTTCTCGTTAGCCCCTGCTTCCACTTTCAAAAATATAACACCTAGCTTAAAAATGGCCTTTAAGGTGTGCATCTTTCTTTTGATATTTTCCAATTAGTCCCACCCATATTCTTTAGATGTACTGTTATTATTAGCTGTGAAGAGGAGTTAAATTTAGACATTTTTACGTCATTGCCTGCAAATCACAAATTAATTTGTCACCCCGGGCTTGATTGAACTCATGCAATTAACAGCATATTGATTTCGCAATTGGGAATGAAAGTAAACATGTTCTGTCTGTAGAGAAATGGATATCTAAAATTAATTCAAACGTCCGAGTTATTTATATGTTTTTAGACTTAGATTAATATTCCATGAATGTCTTTGTATGAAAAATCTATAAAGTTTATTAAGAAATTGATTTAAATGATTTTGTATTAAATGTATAACCAACAAATATATACAATATAGATAACAGCAAAATGCTACTTATAATGGAATTAAGATAACCTTTTTAACTTTTTGAGACACACACACAAAACCTGTTGATATTTTACACCTTCAATAAAATTGTCAAGTATTTCTATGTTTTGTAAATTGTAATTTGTAAATTGAAGTTTGCATATACCTGTTTCACCCTTGTACCGTATATTTTTTGAGTGCAATCCGTTTAGGAAGGCGTATGCACAACAAACATGTCATTGTGAAATTGATCCTTATGAACTCTAAATCATGAACGTGAACGGTACGTTTCATCTATAAACAAACACTTGCCCAGTCTCTCGGGGCTGAAGTGTGTTTATATACAATAAATATGGAATTATCTATATACCTTACACGTCTATAGGTAAAGTTCATCCAAATTATTATGGAAATAGGAAAATAAACGGTCGTAAAGTTTCTCCTTATATTCATGAAAGTTATAATAAAGTTTGCATAGACATGATTGTATCTTTTTGAATTTAAGCACACAACTAGATACCAAGTCTTAAATTAAAGACAAAGTATTTGTTAATTTTTTTCAGCATGCCAACATCAAGCCAAGCTTTGATTATTCTTGCAGTTGACGGACGTCTGCCAAAGAAAATTCCGCGCCGTACATTTCCTGTGACGTCAGTTCCGTATCCGCTAAGAGACTACAACATGACAGACACATGCATGACAATTGAAAATTGTAACGAGGAAGACGCTGATGATGTCATAAAATTACTAAAAGCAGGCGAACGACTTCAATACCCTACTGATTCTGAATCTCTGTCAGAACTTTTACAGATAACGGGCTACAAGGGTGCCTTAACCTTTGACCCTGTTTCAAGACTTATCCAATGGCAAATTAATACAGAACTACCACCAAATACCAAGAATACAAGAAGTTTCGAAAACCCACTCAAGCTCCCTAGCATACATGGCAGAGAAAATCAAATGGGCACACAGATTACCGATGAAAAAATTCCATTTCATGAGGAAAACAGTCATGGGCTACATGTTATACAACTTGTGGAGGTTTGTTATAACTTTTCACAAGGAGATGTTGACAAAAGGATCCACCATCTCAACAAAATGCTTTCTATAGCACAGAAAACCAATATCAAACAATGAGCCAAGGGATGACTTCTAAATTTGCGAATTTTCAAAAGTCTGAGAGATATCTCACTCAGCTAACATCAAGAGATTTCTTAGAAAGAGACAAAATTCAAAACCTACTGGGTGACCACAATTTATTATCAGCAAGGGAGAACACGAATGGAACAACGGAAGGAGTTGTAGAAGAATCTGATAGTAAAGTGAAAAGAACTGTGTCTCTTCCGAGTTTGTTCAAAGCCCGTATTGACAAAGATTTGTACCGAAGACTCTGTTCATTGGGTTTCCGAAAATCAGAAGAGATGAAAAAAGAAACCAGAAAACAAACTAAATACCAGCAAAGAAAACCAATCGAACACCCGACTAAAGAAGCTTGGGTCAACGAAGCGGAAGAAATGGAGTACTCAAAAGACAGAGACTTCCGTTTGGAAGATCTCTCACTTCAGACCGGGAATCTTCATGTTAAATCTGAAATCCCATCCGAAACAAACAGCCATAATGTCACCCTCGAACACAATATGCAAGCTGCGAAGCTTTCACATCTTTTATCCAACAAAGATTACCAGAATTACTTCAAAGAAAGGGATGCCTTTTTTGAGAAGTTTGAAAATTATGAATCGTATACAACTGGTGGAGGTTTGAATTTAATTTCACAAGGAAAGGAAATGTTAGCAAAAGGATGTAAGCTACCGCACATTCAACAACCTGTACAAAGGTAAGAAAACTTGAAGGAACAACTATTAAGCTAAGAATTCTTCAATGATTTACAGGAAAATTTTCACAGTTTTCAGTATTAAATTTGTCATATCTATTATTTACAAGAGTAAACTTGTCTCTACTGCTTTCAGATATGGAGATGAACAAGATATTGACGATGTTAACGTAGTCGATACCAACAACAGACGCAAGGAATCGAAAAAGACATTGTTGGAGGAAATTAAAGAAAAATCAAATTACAGCAAATGGAAGAAAAGACGGTTGGTTGCGGTGCGTATGAGAAAAGAGATGCCGCCCCTTGACCCTCTCTGCCTGTGTTTTAACCTACCAGACAATGCAATGAGCCACGAAGAAGTAAAGGCGTTAGTGGAAGAAAACTGCGGAGGACCGATTGGTGACATCCAGTTTGACCCTGTCAATGTTGTCGCCATTGACAGCGAAGCGAGATCACGATGGATTGTGCGCATGCGTGATATGAAAAGTCGCGACAGACTTCTTCAGACTGGAATAGTGATTGATGGAGAAAGAAGAGATGTGAAATTAATGGACATCATCCATCAAGAAGAAGTTGATGCTTACAAGTTCCATGATCTTGTTCAACGAGGAAAATTGCGAATGCCATTAAACCAGGCAACTAAAAAGCGAAAGAAGTCAAAAACGAATTGACAAATTTATAAAACTTTCAAAGTTTTACTGATAATTTTCATTTTATATCAGTATTTATATCAATGGAATGCAAAATTATTGATGAAAATAGCAACAACACAACGTTATCTCTTTGTTAAATACAGCGTTATTTGATTAATGTTAAATTTTGTAGCAATAAAAATTATATACCATTTACCGATAATACGTTTGAGCAAAATAGTGAGTTCCTTACGGAAATCAACCGAAAAAATTAATTTTTTTAGAAAATGAGTTTACAATTGTTTGGAAAAGGATGGTGAGGTGGGGGGTAGCTGCACTCACAAAAAAAAATTAATTTCGGTTACTCCATGTTTTGCATTTGCAACATTTGTCATATTCATGTAACCCAATGTTGCTGCTTAATACAAGTAAGCTCAATTCAAAAGTAGGACAAATTGAACCACAAAATAAAGACAAAAAATTTTGAAGCATCTTAATATCTGATCTGATTGCAATTTATCCTTATATATTTGTACGCATTGGGAAAACATATAAATCATTGGTAAATTATTTTCAAACAAGTTGCAATTTCTGAAACAAGAATATCAACAGTCTTGTATATGGTCATCATTTTGTAAGTTCTATGGCCGATAGAATGACTTTTTGTCAGCAAATACAATTTATCATTGAATGGAATCCTGACTGACGTCTTTAACTCATACCAATTGTTAGACAATAAGCATGATTAGGCCATTATATAAACATTGACTTGTCGACGGATTTTTCCGCTATTTCCTGATCATAACAAGGAGCACATGGCGACTGTGACCGGTCGGCAGGGGATGCTCACTCCTCCATGACACCCGATTCCACCTCTGATGTTTTGGAGGTCCGTGTTTGCTCTTTTATTTTGTATTGTTTGTATCTGTATGGACTTTTGAGCTTAAATACTGTTCGTTATCTACATATATTTCATACTTAACTATGAAATTGTGATTAAATCAAATATAACACACTTGTCTTGATTTTATATGTACAAAAAAGGGAACATAAAATTAGACGTCATGTGATTCGATTTATGGCATCTGATATATCAAATCGTGCACTTTTCTTCCATTGTAAACAACTCAGTCATAGGCGTCGGAACCGGGGGGGCTTACTTTTTGGCAAAAATAGACATTATACAGGCATTGAAAATTGGGATTTACCTTTTTTTGTTGGGTTAGCCCCCTCCCCCCCCCCTTTCAATTTGCTTCCGACGCCCATGACAATGGATATTTGGATTTATCATTTCACTGTTTTCATACACTCATTGATTTCCCATGGCTCTGTTTATCAACTTTACTCATCGGTAGGGGTGACATTCTTTCTTTACATTTTACATAAAACAAAGCAAAGTACCAAAGTCACTGCAAAGTAAGATTTTTGGCAGAAATGTCTGAACATTTTATTTAGGTGATACTTATCCCTATATAAACGACAAAATCACGACAAATTTTCCAGTGTTTATTAATCTGAATTTTGTAGGGTTGGAAAACACTACACTGGACAAGTTTGATAACAACAAATTGTTTGTTATACTCTGCAACCAATATATTAAATATTGATTTGAAAAATATACTCTTCAATGGCTATTTATTCATAATGAATGATTTAAAATGGAATCGAATGACATAATATGAAATATGATGCAATATGGATTCTTTTATGCTAATGAAAATTAATAATCAATGAAAACTCCTTGCAGACAAATATTTATATTAACATACATGTAATTTGTAAACACATGTATTCCATGTATGATTTTTTTTTGTCCTGAAATAAATTGGTTGTGTTAATAAATTGTAACAGAGTTATCTACAGAAATGTAATCAATAAAACTATCAGAATATGTTTTGGAGAGTCAAATGGCAGTCAAAACAATAGAGTAAAATATGCATACATGTATTACCAAGTCTAAGGGACAGACAGTTTTGCTTTATTGTAAGCATATTGTTATTGTGATCCTTCCTTGAAAGTTTACAATACATTTTTATGTTTCAGGGAATGAAAATCAATTCATTTATGCATCAATTTATTATAAGAATGCTTGCTCTAAGTTTTTTGCTTTACTATATGTACACGACTCAAATTATACATGTACTAATGTAAATGCTAAATTCATTACAGTTGACAAATTGATGTCTAGTAAATGTTAATATATGTCCCTCATTCAAAGCCTTTAATTGTAAAAAGGCAATATCTTAAATAACGGTGGTGTCATTACTACAGAAAAATATCACCTGTAAACAAACCAAAATAAACATTACTGTCGGGAAGTGCATCGTTAAGCACAGGGTAAAATTGCTTCAGGATATCCATATTGATTTTTAATTATCATCAATCAAAGGTCTATTCTAATCTTGCAACACTGATTAGTTTTGGGAAAAGTACAGTTAAAAATAAGGAGCGCTTCACAGATTCAGAAGTTTCACATAAATGTCAGACATAGAAGGGATATACCTTGGCTATCAATGAATATATTACATTCATCTGTCCCATCCTGGTTGCAGGGGTATTGATTTTTAATTGTAAAACTGTTCACTGAAACCATTAAAAGAATGTTTTTTATTTAGTGCCACCTAACTTTAACAACAGAATTGCATTTTGGCAACTTAAAAAAAAAGCCTCTTCATACCTACCAGTATGTACATGTTAAAGTATTATAAATCTTAAAAACTAAAATGATGAATTCTTTTTTAACATACAAGCATTTTCCTGTATGAAATCACTCATAAAAGTTGTTTTGCTCACAAAAAAAAATTTCAACATATACATGTAACTCTGACAAAATGACATGAACAAATCAGCTTGTACTGTACATGAGACAGCCATTTTTAAAGAACTTGAACTTCATTGAAACATTAACATATTCAAACAAATCCTTCTGCTGCAATATATGAGTATGTAGACACCTCACAACTTTCTCACAAATGTTCCACATAAAATGACATATGAACACCCTGGGTTGGTACTACCGTTTCTCGACCTTGGGTTTGGGGGGTCGGAATGTCCCCTTAGATTTCTTGCCCCCGCTCTTCCAACTTCTCCAGCTGTCAACACGATCAGATCTGCTCTCCTATAAAGGAGGAAAAAAAGGAGATTAAGATCAATTTCATTCTATCTTTGTATGATTTATTATAAAAAGAACCTATTCTTAATTGCTGTTTCAGAAATTACATTCCAGCCATTCTTCATGTAATGCCCATGGGTCTTTGATTAGTATTTTATAATGCTATTTTTATACAATTGATATATGGCAATAAGTTTCTTGTACCTCAAAGTTTTTCTTCCATTCTGTTTCTCGTTTCTTTGTTTCCTCCTCTTCTGCATCTTTTTCTGCCTTACGTTTTCTGTTTTAAGAAGCCATAAGTGATTTAATTTAAACCTGACATTTACATTCATAAAAAATGCTTCTCAAAGACAGTCAGGTCAAATTAGCAATGTTCTTTAAATTTAAACATCATATTCACAATTCACAATACGTGTAAATTATTATTTGATAATATTCAGCCATCTTTTCTTTCAGATTTTTGGTACTTGTAAAATTATTTTGAAGTTTTATCTAAATTGAGGAAAACTGGTATTTTTTTTGGGAGGAAGGGGGGATGGGGATGCATGCTATGAGATGTAACTGTCAGTACTAATGAATACCAACCGTTCATGCATGTCTTTCATTTCTCTTTCCTGCCTCATTCTCTCCAGGTCTGCAAATAGCTTACAGGTCTGGACATACACAGCATGCTTCTTCTGAAAATATATAGTGTATACTGCAGAGGAAACAATTATTTCACAGAATCTAGAAGTAGGCTATTCGGAGATGAGAAATAAGCATGTTATTCAATTTCACTTTGTTCATAAATTTTCCAAAGAAGGCATTTGTATGAGAGTAAACATTGAATAAACACCTGTTTCGGCTCAAGAATTCCATGCTGAAACAGTATTTTTAATTCCCACACTTCTCCAAATGGAAGGGGGGGGGGTGGTCATAATAAAAAGGCAAAAAAAATTTCGAGTTACAGGTCTTTAATATTCAAACCTTTTCAGGATCATCCTCTGGCACATCTGTACTTTTCCCTTCTTTTTTTAACTGTTTCCTTTTGGCTTTAATCTGAAAGATATGTGTATGATATGAACTTCAAATTGATTAGATATAAAAGGTTCAAGTAATGGTTAAAATATACATATTCAATCAATGATAAATAATAAGGACATACTCTATTGCAAATGAAAACAGAAATATCAGCATACTGTATCATATTTGGTGTGTACAACATTTGGCTGAAATCAGTTTTCAACAAGTTAGCATAAATTTGATTTAGCTCTTAGTGAATGTGCTTGTCATAACATATATACATGTATTATACAAGACATTTAGAGGTGAAACTTGATTCAGCAGATTTTGTTTTCTTCCAAAAGCGCTAAATGAATCCACTGCTACATGTAATATCTTTACAGTTACATGTACTGTAATTGAATGTTAAATTGTTTTATATGTACTAAGCATCTACTGAAGGATCATTGTTAAAACACATTTTCTCAATAAGTATGTCCCTAATTTGTTTAATTGCAGTTCTCTTCTTTGACCTTAAGAATTTGGTCCTAAAACTAATATTATCTTGAGCTCGAGTCTGCTTTGATAGTGCAGTTTACCGTTTGCAATAGTTTTGAGAACTGGTTGTTTGGATCTAATTTTACAAGGGTCCTGAAGAATTATACATCTGATACACTGTTCATGTAATGTACCATTGACTCTGTTTCTCTCAGATACCTTTGGTTAAGGGATTTAACCAATGTAAGTTTGTCTGCCAGTGACTACCTTGTTACATGTACTTTACAATTTCCTCAACTCTGGTTGCACTAGACCACCATATACCCTGGTTTGCCTGTGACTGCCTTAATAACCTACCATTTCCTCAACTCTGGTTGAGTCAGAAATCTAGTTACATGACTTGCCAATTTTGTCTTCCTTTTTACTGCCTGCTTTAATGACCTACTATTTCTTACATCCTATCTGAATCAGAAACCTGGTTAAACAACTCACCATATTCCCTGGTTTCCCTGAGACTGTCTTGATTACCTACCATTTCTTCCACCCTAGTTGAATCAGAAACCTGATTAAATGACTCATCATATACCCTGGTTTGTCTACATGATAACTTACCATTTCTTCCACCCTGGATTTTGCCTCTTCTATGATTTCTTGGCACCTTTTCATTCCCTCCTCATTGGCTAGTGTTTTATAAGCTTTGTTTACAGCTGAAATCAAATAAATTTGTAAGATGACATATGAACCTAGTTAAATCTTTCACATCTGAAAAAAAAGTTCATTTGAAATTTATACAAAAAGGTTTTTGTTTAAGATATTACACAGGTAGGATCAGGTGACATGGAGTTTTAAATCGCCTATGACCAACACAACTGCAAATACACTGTATTTATAATTGTATCAGAAATACATTTAATCACATTTCAAAAAGGTGATGTGAAGTTGCTTGTTTTTAATAAATTAATTGGAACATAGCAACAAAGAGGACTTCAGAAGTTATTGACAGGTACTAAACATAATAGATCACAAAACTTTTATGACACTTTATTTTTGGGAGAAATGCATTTCATATCAGCGAAAATTCATATAAATGAAAAAAATATATTTTTGAAATCTGGCCATTGGCTGTAAACCTTTTATAATACAAATATATACAAGAATGATATTTTTGCAAGCAGAAAGTATTTATGCAAAGAAAAAAGATCTTGTGAATATAGAGTGCTTTACAGTATGATAGGAAGAATATGGTATGTTTATATGTGTCTTTTTTCTCAGACAAATTAATTATACCAAAACAGACATCTTAATAAACTTACCATCAAATGCTTTCTGTGCTCTATCTAGATCATCTTGATTTTTGTCTGGATGAACCAATATTGACATCTAAGAGGAAAAAAATCACACATTCTATTAAGTCTTTGCAATGAAACTAGGAGGGGGGGTTGTCTATTAATAAATCTTTGCAACTTGGAGATGGAATTCCTTCACCCTTTCCCTTCCTAATTCTCTCTATAAATTTTGAGAAATATACTGTATACAGGGTTATTTTTTCACCCCATTTTATTTTCACCCTTAAAGTTAAATTCACCCACTTCCGACTAGGGTGAAAGGGGCGAAAAATTAAACGGCGAAAATTTTTCTGTATACAGTATTTACATGTGCTTATAACCATGTATACCTATGGTGAATAAGCTGTCTTTCTACTTACTTACTTCTGGTGGTATATTAAATGTTACATTCACAATAAACATGATACATGAGTTAGTTCTTATGAATACACAGTGGTTTCCTAAAGACCTGGTGGGCTACCAGCCATATTGACTAGTTGAATCATGTCAGTTGATAAAAATGCCACTTTAATATTAAAAAAAAAAATCAAAATTTAATTGTTTTCAGGTCCAAGGAGATTTTTTCATAAACTTCAACCCAAAGCCTAATACAAATCACTGTATTGGTTCACAAATAATCATGATAAAGGAAAACAGTGAATACTAATTTATAGAAATAGTTACCTGTCTGTATTTCTTCTTGATGTCTGCAAGTGAGGTATCTGGGTCAATGTTAAGTACCTACAAATATCAGAATAACATTTTCTAGGTGTGTACATTGTACATATATTTCAATGTTATTGACAAGAACCAATAAAATCAAATTAATCAGTCCAGTCCAATACGAAAATTCGTAATATTACGAAAAAACGTAAGATTATGAAAGATCGTAATATTACAAATTATCGTAATATAAAACTTATATTACAATTTTTCGTAATGTAGTTAAATTACGAATACGCATAATATAGCAGATTGTAAGAGACTATTTTACGAGTTTTCGTAATCCAAGACAAATTCAAGCATTGCAAGAAATTGAGTGGTGGGTACCAAAGTATGACGTGTAATATATCAGATTCCACAACTGATAGCACAGTTTGTAGTTACACCTATCAGAAGGCATGGAAATTCAAGAAGAAAGTACCTCCAGCGATGGGTGAGTGGACAATTTCTTTTATTATTCTTTTATAGGAATTTTCCCAAGGATAAGACCAATTTTCCAGTAAATTTCAATATTCGCTTAAGCATGTCGCATTGGTCTATATCACCCAAACTCCCTACTTTTCTTGCGAAGTCTACCCTAAAAATCACACCCTCGTCTCGTAATACAACTTTTCGTGCAATTCTTAGAAATACACAGAATTCAAATCTGTCGTACAAGTTATCGCCGGTGACATCTCATATTAAACGTCATACTTTGCTATCCGCCACTCAATTTCTTGCAATGCTTGAATTTGTCTTGGATTACGAAAACTCGTAATATAGTCTCTACAATCTGCTATATTATGCGTATTCGTAATTTAACTACATTGCGAAAAATTGTAATATAAGTTTTATATTACGATAACTTGTAATATTACACTTTCTCGTAATCTTACTTTTTTTCGTAATATTACGAATTTTCGTATTGGACTGGACTGTTAATATTATGGTATATCACATATAAACAAATTATATTATTTACTGGATGGAAAATTCTGCTGAAGAGCATGCTAAATATTTATTCAATAAACATGATAAAAACTGTATAACTATTGTATAGTGTACTTACATCAAAAGGGTTGAGGTTGAAGTATGTGGAACCTGGTCTGCTTAATTTGTCAATCTGTTGTTTCGAAGTTAAGACTGAATCTCTGTGTTCAATTGCTTTGACCTGTAAGATAAATAGCAAGCCCAAAGTCTTAATTAAAAGTTTTGCAAGTTTTGATCAATCATTCTATAAACTTAGTTTATAGGTCCCTGATCATTCACACTGCAAAGTAAAACTAGACATAAACATGAAAAGTTGAAAAATAGTGTTTAACATTTGTTAACGTTACATCAGTCGGAACTTATTGTCATTATCAACAACTCCTCAAAATTAGATATGAACATATATACAATGATACCTATATCAACTAAATCTTTGCGTTATTCTATAAAATCATATGAAAGAACAGGTCTTACAGGATTTGTTTGTTCAACTGAGAAAATTCGGATTAATATAAACTTTCATCTTTTCCTCCATTAAGAATTAGCATACCTCTTGATAAAATGAATCAAAGGCTTCTTCACCGGATCCACCTGCTTCCTCTTTCTTGTCATCTGTATTTTGAGTTTCAGTTGCCATTTTTCAATATTTTACCGAAAAATACAACAATAAGGACTGAAATATTCTCCAAACACTGAAGAGTTCCACAAAACGATAGCAAGTCGTTCGCGTTCTACAGAAACTGATTTACACCATGTCAGTTATTTTAGAGACTTCTGTAGGGGAAATTACCATTGATTTATTTACTGATGAAAGACCACGATGTAAGTAAATGTGTTTCAAATGTAAATAAAGTTGATTCTATTGTAAAACTTCTCGAATTTCCTCTAACACTTTGTATAAGAAAACCGAGGGAAATAAACTACACGTTTCAATATTCTCATTGAAGTTTCATAACGATATATTACTAATGAAAAAACTATTTTTGACCATTTTAATGAATCTCCACGTGCACTGTAATGTTTAATAATGTTTGCCTGTGGTTGCAAGTAGCACATTTTTTACATTATGATTCAATATTTACTCTTGTAGGTTGTTTGAACTTCTTGAAGCTATGCAAAATAAAGTACTACAATTTTTGCCTATTTTACTCTGTACAGGTATGTTTCAAACCTTTACTTAACCTTGAGAGGAACATTATTAACTTATGTGATTGCACATTTAACAGCTAGTCCGAAATATCTGGTACATGTTTTCCAGGCTTTTTTATGGTTTTGATATTTTACCTGTCTGGAAACCGTCAGAACCAGTGACGTTATGAAAACTGGGAATTTGCCGCCTCCACTTGGAGACGGCATTTTCAGGTTAATTTTAGATACTTGCAAAGTGCAAACTGAATTTAAATGTCAAACTCAGTAGTTATGAATATTACACTACAATTAACTAAGAGAAACCTGGTGGTAAGTCATGCATAAAATTTCGGAACCCCCCGAAGTTTGGGGGCAATACCCCCCGCGAACGATGTTTGGGGGGTATATAGGAATAGTTTTGTTTATTTACTTATTTTAAGAGAAACCTGGTGGCTCAGACTGGTGATCCATCAGGGACAGGCAAGGGAGGAGAAAAAATCATGTTTGACACATATCTTTTATGGATGGGTAGGTAGATTGCCCATGACCCAAGGGTGTGTCATGACCACCAAGGTCCTTATTTATATCTTTCTTATGGATAAAGTTCTTTGGTTCAGTAGGTTGGAAGAAAAATTTTATAATTCGTGTTTGATACATATCTTTATTATACAAAAACTTACTTCTGAAAAAACAAGCTAAATATGTGGAAGATCATTAACATACATTTTATTAAAAACTTATCAACAGAAAATTATATGGAGACCAAGCCAAATTTTTTGAGATGGAACTGACACCTCGCATGAAGCATTCCAGGGCTGGTTTGGTATCCATGGTAAACAATGGTCAGAACATGCATGGATCTCAGGTAATTTATAAAAAAATAAACCACAAGTTTCAGACTAAATTTAAAACTATAAATCATCAGATACCTCCCATAATGTCCATGTGTTGCTATATTATATTGTTTTATGGTAATGTGTAAAGAGGAATAACTTGTCCTATCAAATGTTATCTTGAAGCTTCTGTATGTGACGTCATATGTAAACATATAATGGCAATGTCCATGTTTTGCTATGGGAAACTTAAAATATGTGTCGAATAAAAAAGTAAAATAGGAGGTGCACAATAGCAATATGTAATAAAGATTCTGTGAAAGTTTCATTAAATACCCTAAAACCCAAGACAAGGGTGAATCATTTTATTATCTATTATCACATAGATTTATGATTGGTATGAATACTCTTGTAATGAATCTGAACTTTGACCTTTGTTCCAGTTCTTTATAACACTGGCCGACAATCTGGATTACTTGGATGGTAAACACACAGTGTTTGGGGAGGTGGCCGAGGGAATGGATATCCTAATGAAAATTAATGAGGCATACTGTGACGAAGATAACAGACCCTATAAAGATATCAGGTTAGTAAGAAGGGGGAAAATTGATTTAATTTTTTTCTTTTGCCGAAAATACTTTCATTTTCAACTTGTTTAATTTCTCTAAGTTTTAATACAATGCATCTTATGTTTAGAAAATAAATTGATTGGGAGTGTAGTTGGCAAATGCCTATGATATTTTAATTTATTTTGATGATCCATACGATGGACAAACATGAATGTTGTAGGGTATACCACACAGTGATACTTAGTATTAGATGATCCGTATGATGAATTAATATACATGTACATGGTCTATGTTATAGGATATACCACACAGTGGTATTAGATGATCCATATGATGAAATAATGTATATTATAGGATATACCACACAGTAATATTGGATGATCCATATGATGATCCAGATGGACTGGAAGTTCCAGACAAATCCCCAGAACCCACTCAGGAACAACTGGATGTATGTGAATAACTCTTATCTGAATAACTTACTGTATATTATTTATCCTACATAATATTATATAATTTTATACTTTTTACTTACACCTTAGGTGGTGTTATTATAAACAAAGATCTTCATTAGTAATTCATAAATCTTTTTTATTTGAATTACTAATGAAGATCTTTCATTTAATTGAACTATTTTCCTTAAAATTTGAATTAATTGTTTGAATCTCTTCACATTATTGTAAATGAAACATGCTTTCTGCAAATATGTAAATGTATGATTTTTCCCATTGTATTGTAACTGATAAATGTTTAAGTTTGATGTATCTGTTTTCAGACAGTGAGGATAGGAGCTGATGAAGAAATAGATGACTTTCAGGGAATGACAGAAGAAGAAGTGAAGGAGGTGTTAGAAGAGAAAGAAGCCAAGGCTAATGCCCAGATTCTAGAGATGGTAAGGGAGAAAATCTAGCATACTCCCAATTATTAAACTGAACACAAACATGACCATGTCTAGTTTGTTGATCTTGAATAATTTTTCTATTAAATTTGCTCACTGTCAGGCACTGATTTGAACACACTCAAACAGGTTTATTCCTTGTTGCTGAGCTGTCACCCAAGACTTGCTCAATTCAAGGTCACAGAATTGAAGACACCAAACAGGCTTATCCCTAGTTTCTGTCCTGAAGCAGTGTCATTTAAAACTTGCTCACTCCCAGTTACTGAACTGCATACACTCAGAACATGCTAACACTTTATTACCAACTAGCAAGACCAAACATACATGTAGGTATACATCAGGTGAAACCAAGAAAGCATTTATTCAAGCAGTCATGGCTCTTTCTTTAACAGGTGGGTGATCTCCCTGATGCTGAAGTGAAACCAGAAGATAATGTTCTGTTTGTATGTAAACTCAACCCTGTCACTACAGACGAAGACCTGGAAATCATATTCTCAAGATTTGGAACAATAAAAAGGTATGCAGAATGAAATCCGTTTATTACATGTATGACTAAATCTAAATAAATGTGACCAGATCAGAGTGAATGCACATGTGTGCATTTTTAATGTGACTAAAAATGATTTAATTTTTAAAAATGAAATTTGACACAAGATTTGCTCTAGTATGGAAAGTGTGAACAAGGGGAGCTAACTAGAAAGTTACACATTGGAAGTAATTTTCTTCTGCAAATTAAATATTGAAATAAATACCATGTCCTTTAATTTCAGCTGTGAAGTGATCAGAGATCATAAAACCAAAGAATCCTTACAGTACGCATTTATAGAGTTTGAAAAGGTTAGTAAAAAAAATTGCTAATACATCATGTATATGTTATAACCTCATTTAATTAAGTTACAAAAATCCTCAACTAGTGACAAAATGATAACATAGTTCAATTACTCAATCACATGCTGGCACAAATAGCACAAAATAATAAAGGAGTGTTTGGTATGTTTGAGTGTTGTGTATAGTATTACAGATTAAATGACGTGGAAAACTGAAATCTTTCTTTTTTTTTTTTTAAATTAGACAGAAGACTGTGAGAGTGCTTATTTCAAGATGGACAATGTCCTGATTGATGACCGCAGGATACATGTGGACTTCAGCCAATCTGTGTCCAAACTCAAATATAAAGGTTGTTTACATTGACATTTTTTTTTCATGCAGCATATGAAGTTGATTTTGGATTTCATGTTGTTGTAATCTAATATACATTGATTATACAATAGATGATAATAAGTTTAAGTGTTGATGAATTAGAGGAAAGTTGATATCTAGTTTAGTGTGTAGATAAAGAAGAAAAATTTGTCTTGATTACAAACATCCATTTATGTAAGCAGAGTTTATTCCTCTTTAAATAATTTGTAACATGTTTACCATTTACAGGTAAAGATGGACAGAAATCAGAGGAGACAAAGGAAAAGTACATCATCAGGGATCGGACCACAAGACAAGACAAGTATCCTTTGGCAAAGTTTTTCTTAGCCTGGCAGTCAGGCCATTTCTCACATATTATATATTTTTAACAAAATATTTTGTTTCTTTTTATTCAACCAGACAAACATTCTTGATCATGTACAACTAAAATTCTTCACAAAGAATTCATATATTGACAATTAAAAAAAACAAAACGGTTGTTAATAACAAGATATTTTACTGTTATCAGTCTGGTTCAAGTTTGTTTTGGTTTAAGCATTAGTTTATAGGCTACTTTATCATGTAACTGCAGTAAAGTGTATAAGATGAATATATAAGCACTGTGGAATCATTTAAATTTGTGGGGGGTTAGCAAAATTTTACCTGTTCATGGGCACGTAATTTTGTGGGTTACTCGTCAATATGATGTTTCAATGAATCAATATGTTAACAAATTAACCATTTATGGGGATGTAAATACATGGGTAAGGGTGACCCACGAAATCCATATAAGAATTGTCATTTTAATAGTTAATTACTTCTCTTAACTTGTCAAAGTAGATATGATTTAGTTTTTGATGACGATGAAGAAGATGAGAAGAAAACGAAATCAAAGAAGAAAAAGAAACACAAAGACAGAAAGCAAAGTGAAAGTGAAAGTGACAGTGAATCACACAGAAAGAGAAAGGTCAGTAAAGAGAATAACTGTTACGCTGTTAGGGCAGGGTACACTCTTACTTATGGTAAATACCATTTATTTATCTTGACATAAAGAACTTCTACACAAAATGCATGTAATTTGCACATTTTTCCCAGAAATTAAAAGATCAGTCAATATAGTCCAT